TTTATCGGGTCTAAAACCACTCGGCTACGCCTCGTGTTTTATACCCGATAAAACACTCCTGCTCGCTTATTAAAAAGTACACAATGAATATCAAGAAACGGCATCTGGTCACCAGAGACTGAACAAAATAAATGCCTTGGGGCGTACAACACTCACATCTTGAGGGGAACTGATTAAGAAATTATCTTCACCGAATACGTTAATGCTGTAATATTAGACAGATTAAGATTCCCGATTTTCCTTCCCGCAAACGGCAAACGTCACCATGCTTTCATCGTTTCCCTACATTTCACTTTACCTTTTACAAACCTTCTCAACGAAGACAAATATTCTTATTTTTATCTACCACTTGGATATCTTTTGCGATTCCTTTTCACTGATTTTAAAGAATTTTCACTATGGGTCAACTGACGTTTCACGTTTGCCGTAAACGAGACTCCTAAACTCTCTATTGAAACAAGACGAACGGTGAGTTGTTTCTCGTTCTGTTGATTATAAGACATCAATGTGTCTTTTCTCGTCTTGGTGGATGTTATAAAATGCTTTCTGTTTTCCATCCAAACGGCTTTTCTGACCCGTTCAGTTTGGTTTGTAAATAGTAGATGACTCACTTTTCGTCTCATTTTCATTTTAATTATCATAATTTATGCAAGGAGGCAAAGGAACTTAACACATTCATTCTACACTACAGGGTTTTCATACACGCATTTACATTCTCACCACTGAAAGTCAAGGATTCGTTCACGGCACAACCGAACTCAATGTCCATTAAGCCCCGTTTACACTAGCGATTTTTGCGGCGATTTTTGCTGCGACTTTTTTTGGGAGATTTTGTCCATAATAAATAATGGTAAAGAATTTACTTGTAAAGTTTTTTTCAGGATACCAAGATTTTCCCTAGACGAATGTCTCTTTTGAAGGATGAGACAAAAGATTTCATGTTTCCGAAAATTGCCACAAAAATCGCAGCAAAAATCGCTAGTGTAAAGGGGGCTTTATTAATCAAGAGAGCGAGGACCTTTGGAATACCCGTCCAGTCTAATCGTCTTTCTTTTGTAGTAAAACAAAACGTGTATTACCTTCAATTTTGATTATACTCGAGAAAATCAACTTTCCATGCAAAGCCGCTTAACTAAGTGGTTTTCCTTTTTTGTGTGCATCGTTTCCTCTAGATTTGACTAAGAATGTAATTCATAAGCAAATAGGTTTTGTCTATTAATAGGTTTTAGTTCTGCCATTAGTCGATAAAGTCTTTTTTTAGCAAAAAATGTTGAGCTGCCCTCGAGCTTATGTCTTATCTTTATCGAGGTGATATTGTGCTCAATTAACACCAACGAATCCTGTAAGTACGTTATTCACTGCTGATGTTTCGAAATCGTCTGTAGTCAATAAGCCTGAAGTGAGATGACGTTTTACCCCCGTCTCTAGACCATAATCCTTTTCACATCGCTTTTGTTCTTTAATTATGACTTTTGTTTCTGTATTCTCTAAGGAATCAAAAATTTTAATATGAAAGACTTTTAAAAACTATTATGGTATAGAGTCGGGGGTAAAACGTCATCTCGCTTCAGGATTATTGGAGTGATGACTTTATGCTGTTAAAAGTCTCCTGTAAGGGTGGTTGTCGGGAGGTCACACGGGGAAGACTATTTAAACCTTGAAATTTCAATCCCCTTTAAATAAAGTCAGTTAGGCTATATATATCATATTGCAATCGGCCTCAGAATAATATGCTTGCAATTTGTTTTAGTAAATTCGTTAGAAAACAAACATTACTATTCAGGACTA